TGTAGTGTATTTATGAATAGGACGTATACTTTTTTGTTATTTAATACTGTAATTCGATTAAATTTTTTTTTTTTGTTGATTAAAGTAAGACAACAAATGATTCAAATTTTGGTTGTATATTTTATTAAATCACATATCCATCTAAGTAAAAGGAGTCCAATCATAGTCATCGTGTTAATGATGAAGAATATTGTCAGTCGTGTGGTGTTAAAATAATATTTATCGAAAAATATAAGAATACCATTAAAATCAGACTCACACTTTGGTCATACAATTGTAATTACAGCTATACGTTTTTGGGTAAAATTTTGAAAACGTTTGCTCGTTTTTGTTACTATACCATCTAGTACGCAGTAGTAGTAATGTTTATAACGTTTTTTTTTTCTCATTTAAAATTATTTGCATATCAAACAGGTATGAAAATTGTGCTAAAAAATATGTTTTCGTGTAAACGCTTAGGCGAGAATTCGATAAACAACACTTCATCTGTACAAGATTTCCATCCAATTTAGGCAAATCGAAATTCGGTAAAAAAGTACTGTATTGCGGCTGAGGCGTTATAGGTATAATACTTGCGGGAGTAGCTGTCGTTAAAACTGACTTTATTTTAAAATCTCAAGATCTTCACGTGACCAATTGGTTGACATTAAAAGTAGTTTTGACTTAAAATTATTACTTTAAAGCTATTACGTTTTCACGGTTACGGTACGGACGATAGAATCAGTGTACTTTAATTACGCGGACTAACTGTCAATCGGTAGGCGAACGGTTTGGAGCTTCAACAATTACCAGGTCATTAGTTGATACATTTGGCGTTGTACCGTACAATTCAAGACGACCACAAGGTACTATGTACAATGTACAGTGTACTCAAGTATTCTTTTGTCCAGCGAACCCACAACGATTGACGTAGCTGTTTTAAGAGCTCCCAGCGGTGAAGACGATTGGTTCTGACATTAGTAAAATCCTTCTCGGGTAAGGCCATGATCGGTTGACCGACTAAAAAGTGACCGAGTGTTAAAGCACATATGTCATGTGGATTCGATGATAAAGAATGCAATTCTTCAAACGTCAAAACTTGCTGACCAATAACATGTTTTAAGTGATGTTTTGTACTATTTATAACGCTTTCCCATATGCGGCGCGGCCTATGGGTTAAAATGCCACTGACACGGTATACGATTCATAACGGCCGATTGCGTATTAACATTATTGAAAAGTTCTTTTAATTGACGTGCGGCTCCAATATAATTACTACCACAATCTGAATAAATATTAACTGGTTTACAACGGCGTGCGACGAAACGGCCCAAGGCGGCTAGAAACGCATCCGTTGGTAGATTAGACACGATCTCTAAATGGATGACCTTCGCGGACATACAAATAAATAAGGCCAAATAACATTTGTGTGCACGGGCATTGCGGTGGCGACTTTCCTTGACCATATAAGGACCTCCATAGTCCATCCCGACATTCATAAAAGCTCGGTTGGATTGAACGCGCGCTAATGGCGAATTGCCCATCAACGGATTAGGGTGTTTGGCCTTATGACGTACACGCGAGACACACGTATAAATAAAACGCCTTGTCGCATCATTGACATAACTACTTTTGGACCGGCATGCAAACATGATGGTAATGTTTGATCATTAATTCAGATAGATATGACGTGTTTTTGGTAGTAAGATGGGACGATTTGCGTCGGCATCAAGCGACGCGCTGCGAAGGCGACCGCCAAAGCGTGCAAGTCCGTCCGAATCAATGAATGGTGCTAACTGGGTTAAGGAAGCAGGTGTAACGTCACTATGATTTATTAATTGCCTTTTTAGTTCGTTAAAATATCTTTGTTGAGTCAACAGAACGGCCTGTTTCAAAGCATAGTGCAGCTCAGAAAATGTTAAAGGACCGGTCGGTGTAGACTTGAAATTAAAACGATATTACATTGGCAAGCGTCCTTTGCATTCGTGTTAGCGTAGAAAAACGGTGTAGAATTTGATCGGCGGCGGTTTATTCGAAAAAAGTATAAAGTTAATTTTAAAAAAAACTACAAGCAATAGGATGTTTTATGTTTATTTTAAAATTTTGATTTGAAAAGTCCTATCCGGGTCCACTTCATTACACGAATAAAACTAACACTTCACTCCACCCTTCCTACCGTCCTAAATTTTAAAATTAAAAAGTATTTAGCCAAAACTGATAATCGACCGGTCAAGAGTTTATGCCAAATTTTGTTAAGAAGAGTCGGTATAATATTACTAGTTCATAGTTTTCCCAATCCATTTGGCTTATAATAACTTGTATTTCTTTAATTATATTAAATACTACAGTGTATGGGGGATTTGTAGATGAAAGTAAATAAATGTTTCCTATTTCACTAGAAACAGAAGAAGTATTTTCGAAGTCATCGGTTTTATAGGAAGTTAGTATAAGGGAGCTGGTAAATATTTCATTTTGTATTATGGCTTCTCTTGGAATTGATGGGTGGCTGAGACAATAAGTATAATGAAAGTGCACGAGCGCGTATGATTACAGGATGTAAATTATTTTTTAAATAAAAAAATAAGTATTCAGCGATAGTTTCTGTTCCAATCGACATATAAATATTCTTTACACTGGTTTCCTTTTTAGTAGATGTTTCTGTATATTTTCTGTGTAAAATTTTTATAGCTTATAAACTGACAGGTAATAAGTTGGCATAATTTATATACGTTAATGACATAGCGAAAGTCTCAATTAATTTGTATATTTTAGTGAAGTTTGACAAATGTCTCCTGTCCCATAAATGGCAGGTAAAAAAGAGAAAAAATTCTAATTGAGATAAAGTTTGACCATTATACTTTAATATTAAAAACGGACTGCCAAACGTAGACCAGTTATAAATGTCATTATGACTACTTTATTGTATAAAAGGGCTTTGATAATGGTTAAGTAATGGTAATTAAATGATTAAGTTACTGTATATATCTTAAAACAAAAGAAAAGGGAAAAAAGCTGTAACTGGAGTTGCTTGATAGCTTATTATGTGAATTGATGAGTGTAAATGTTTGTTGTATAGATTTTTTTCGCACTCAGTCGCACTTTTAATATTTTGTAAAAGAAAAATTGATATTAAAGTTTAACATGTTAGATTAGATGAGTAATAGTGTGAGAATGTTTGTATGTATTTGTTGTATAGAAAATGTCGCACTTGGTTGCACTTTTCAATATTTTGTGAAGAAAATAATGTAATTTACAGAAATATTCGTTGGCATGAAAATGCAAACTGCTTTTTTGATAAGAAATTATTTTTGTTCAGGAATTGTAATATCCTACTTTTTATGTACTCCTCAAATATTTTAGAAATAGATAGTGATAGTGCTATTGGGCGATAATTAATGCAATTAGAAGGGTCACCAGATTTGAATAAAGGTACAACAACACATTTTTTAAAACAAGAGGGAAATATGTAATAATAAGTGATACAATCATGACAAACGAATCAGTACCTAAACGTAATTGTTTTTTATTAATTCATTTACCTAAATTATAATTTGTGTAACACTTTGTTTTTCCGCAGTCAATAAAAAATAAATTATAAGAAACAAACTACTTTGATTGATTCTTAATGAAAAAACTTGAATGTTTGTTATACAGCAGTAGTTTTAAAATTAATATTTTATTCGACATTTTAAAAGACAATGCTAAATTTACATTAGCCTATTTTTCTCAATTTCAGTTTACGCTCTAAAATATTCCATTGAATTTAACACGACACATAGTATTTTAATTATTTTTCATATTTCTTGTGTTTAACCCATCATTTTTTAATCTTCCTAAACTACTTATAAGGAAAATATCCCTAAAAACAGTTTTAGTCAATTATTGTTAGTATTATTGTTATTTTTTTTTACATCTGGAACATTTTTGACGAAGAGAACGATTTTTTTCTAACGTGTACAGAACTTTTTAACCAGAGGCCGATATTTGGGTTTCCAACCGATGTTGTATTAGGTTTTATTTTTTACTCTGAATTTTTGCTGCATAAATTGCGCTAGTATAGTCTTATTACTAGTCAAACTAGTAGCGTGATATTTTTCTGGGTTTTGTACCGATGTCAATAACATACGAGCCCACACAAAAACACATATCTAAATCAATATACAACCACAACTTACTACCAAAAACAATTTTACAAATTTTGAGCATTGCACACGAAAATAATTTGAAACCATCATAGTTTTCAATATAAAATATGTAGGGTTAATTTGTGTACCTTATATTGTTCTTAAATCGAATTTAAGCGCCAATACTGTACCATCAGGGTTGTCTAGTCAGAATACTTTTCACTAAGACTCTCACTCTCTCAATACAGGGTGATTTTTTTATCATGAGCCAGTCAATATTTCACTGAGTTTATATAATTATTTATTTTCATAGTGTTTTTAATGTGATCTCAATTTTCCACAAACTATTTCGCTTCTACCTCCCTCCGAAACTAGTTTTTTTAATAGCAACTTTTAAAACCTAAATGGTAACGTATATATTTTTTAAACTTTTTAAATTAAGAATATTCTACTAAAAATATTGGCTGATCGATAACCAGTTTTGGATAATTATTTTTGAAGTCATTGAAGTTTCAAGTTTAGGGTAGGAGGAAAGGTGCAATGTAGTATTATTTTTATCTGCGCGCATTTCCCAGCCGCACTTCTCCTCCCGTCCTAACTTTTAAACTCTTATAGCTTTAAAAATAATTATCCAAAACTGGTTATCAACCCGTCAACATTTTTAGGGAAATATCCTTAATTTAAAAAGCTTGAAAAATATTTATATGTGTTAAATATTATATTGTTTAAATATTATATGTGAACACTGTAGAAATCATTAAGTAATATTTAAAAGTTGTTTTATACAAGGACCAATTACATCTGTAACCTAGATTATATCATTTATAAGACATAGTATTAAGGTGTTGGATTTACCATTCTATTACGGCTGCTGTTATAACTGTAACGTACGTTGTATATATATTATTCTCTATACTGTGTGTGTTTTTATGTTTAATAGTATTGTGTTCAAACATATTATTGTTGTGTTTTATTTTCTACTAAAATACTAACTTCCACCAAGATATACAGGCGTATATCGCTATAATGGGTTTCGCCAAAACAAAGATACATTGTGAACGAAAAAAGACTGTCGATACGGATACAGATTAATGCACACAGTAGCCAGTAGGTCGCAAATAGCCTCATAAATGACGTCACTAATATTGGATTTTATTGAATTTTTCACCTTGTACAATACTGTTTTGTTGGTATACCTATGTCTGAGAATATTCGTAGCCTGTAAAATAGTTGTTTACAAAATACAAATAAGTACCATTATGCCCCGGCCCCACCGTGCTGGCTTAATATTATTGCACATAGTTATTTTAACTTCAGTGCCACTAATAGTCTTTTACTACACGTACTTCATTGAATTCAAATCGTCTAAAAATCTATAATATTATGCACTTGAAGAGTGCTGTTATTCTCTGCGTGGTGTATTTCTGTACATCTGTATGGGTAAGATACTTATATCTTCAAATAATATTTTTTTAAATCAAATATACTTAATTTCTAAATACATACCTTCCTACTAGAGTTAAAACAATTAATTCAATTTGGAAAATATTAAAAAAACTAAATATTTGATAATTTTATAATATTGTAAAATAAATTATTTTTTTTTTAAAAGGAAAACTATACAATGGTAATAAATTTCTCAGAAAATGAGTGTACAACTTAAAATGGATCGCCTAATACTAAGTGTTAAATTATAACCAATTATACTTTATTTTAGAGCACTGGGCTAAATAGGAGTCAAATAAAATTATGTATTACATTACACGAAACTGAGATTCCTATCCCAAACATTTTAAAGAAGGATTTTGGTATTAAAAATCCAGAAAAATTTTTTAATTTCGATCCAAGTAAGACATTATTCAAATAGCTATTTTATTCATTACAACTATAGATATTTAACACTACGTTATTGCATTAATATAGGTTTATACGTGGTTAATTACATTCTATTTAGTCAATAAATAATATTTATTAATACTGAACCATTTTAATAAATTGTAATGTTTTTTAAACTATCAATTTGGTTGAAAATAAATTATGAAATAAAACGTAGAAGGTAGAATAACTTTTTAAAAATATAATTAAGCTGGGTTAAAATTTAAATATGCACTTAAAATGATTATGTAACTACTTAAGCAGTCTAAATAATTACATAATATGTTAGGCGTATACAAGTTAACTGATTGTAATACATAAATCTTAAACCTGCCGAGCTTTGTTAAAAACTCTTATATTTGTTAGTAAAAACTAATTGAATACTATTTAATTTGTATAGCAAAGAAATATTATGTAAATTATAAGGAGTTATTTGTGGCCTTAGCGTATGATCAAACATTTGTCAACTTCGAGGTAATTGAACTAAAATAACTAGTTTAACATTGAAAAATATTAACTATTAACAAATATCAAAATATTGTAAAAACCTTTTGGCGAAATAATAATAACTATTGAACTTAGGAACCTACGCTGATGCCCGTCGAAGTAGAGTTGTACCTCGAAAAGTTCGTCACACTCTTAAAAGATAATCAAAATAATGGATTTCTTCATCATAAACAACTATTAGGTTTATTTAAAGAATTAAACATAAAAAATGAAGAATTGGAAAAGGCCGAAAACTTAATTCCTAAGGATGAAGAAGGTAATATTAAATTTAGATCGAGAAAGCGGTTTAATTCAAGTTAACAATCTTCATTTATTTAATTTTAGGTCACGCTATAGCTAACCAAGCGGAATTCTTGTTGATCATGTTAGACGTTTTACCTGAAGTAAGCCAATATTTGTGCTACGAAAAATAGTATCTCTAGGGATTAATACGGGGAAAATCATTGTATAATAACTAGAAATACCCGCATAGGATTTTTAATATCGGGATTTAAAAAAAAACACAACATCCTGCTACTCGTATTTGTAATATTTGAAAATTTACCGTATACATTTTTCTGAATAAAAATATGTATGCTAAAATGTGATATAAAAACAAAAAGTTAAAGAATCATAACAATAGTAGTTAATAAGTTGTTAAACATTTTACAAACGCTTAAAATGTAAAATGTATTTTGAAATTAGAGTACAGCTATTCTACTATTTTTGGCTTACATTACAGGGCAATGGTCTTAGCCAAAAACAATTAGAAAAGTTCGTTGAATTGTATAATAAAACTACTACCAGATCCATCGATCCTAAGATAATTCAAAAAATCTTCAAAGAGTTTGAAATGACTAGAACGCCCCATAAAGAGTTATTTCGATCTAACCGTAAGAATAATATAAAAAAAAAAATGCACGTTAGATACATTTTGACTTCCTTTATAATATATAATTACAAATTGCACAGGACCCGCTGCTAAAGAGTTGATGGAGTTATTGATCGTTACGGCAGAACGTTCTAAGACAGCTCACAGAAATGTAATATAATTTATTTTTTATCTGTTTAAAATTCTTTACTGTCACGCATTATTATCCTATCTTTTAATTATTTGTTACGCTATACATAATGTTACCTTGACAATTCTTCAGGAGATTGTGTTAAGTACACCAAAGGTCAGAACATTGGTATCTAATTTCAAAAAAAATGACTACAACAACAACGGTATACTCTCTGGTGAAGAAGCGATAGAGTTTGTGAAAGATTTTCTCACTAAAGATCCTGAATATTCGACGACGATTAATTTTTATGGTAATGTGGTAAAATTACTATTAATAATTGTATCTAAAAATTTGGTATTTTGATTTTTAGATATAAAAATAAACGTTGCCCATTACGTATTATTCCACCTAATAAAATTGCGCCAAGTTCGAGACCATTTCTGCTTGTTAGAAAATTTATTAAGGAAATATGAATTAATTTAAATACAAAATCATGCGGTAGGTTTTTATTTATAATTGTGTGTGCTTTAAATGGAAACTCGCTCTTTTCAATATTTTAATTGTATTCTGTAAAGCAAAATCTGACAATAGTTTAAAATACGGCTATAAGTTATTATAATGTATTAAACAATTTTGTTTAAATGTTTTAGTAATTAATTATATTTTTTTTTTTGTCAACAGCCTAATGTTTGGTTGGCAGCAATTTTCCACACCTCAAGCTAATTTATATTTATTATTTCGTATAATTAATTTATTTTAATATTTTAAATGTTACACTTTAATAGGAATTAAAATAATTTAATTTTTTTTTTGTCACGGTATCTGTAATTGTTTTTAATTAAATAAATAACATATTGTAAATTTTACAACACTCTTTCGTTTGCAACCAATCAAAAAGATTAAAAATTCGATTTTTCCATGCAAAGTGATCAGGCGGCGCATTTTATCTTAGTTCCTAGGTCACTTAGATTACTTTCTTTCCGCAATGATTCAACTGTGTTTTTTGGCCATATATTTTAGAATGTTATTTTTAGTTAATAAGTACACCCTATAGTTCAAAGTCTACATAAAGATTTTGCGAAAAAATGCCAATAGGTACTACAATTCTTAGAATTGAGCAAATTGAGCCTCTTAAGAACAATAAGGTATCATTACATAAAATATAATATACAATTTTTTTCTGTTACTAAATATGTTTTGTAAATCGAACAATCTGGCAATATCAGTTTTTGTAATGTAATAAAAATAATTTTTGTTTGTAGTAGTTACTAGTTAGTATTGATCATAGCTAACTTAAACTCATTTCACGTATATAGTTTCAAATTCCCTACAGTATGAAACATTTACCAGAAAAACAAACTGCAACTAGAAATTTTTAGGTTAAAAAAGACGCACACTATTTACTATTATACTTAAGTGCTCAAATTGTGACCTTCGACTTCTCTACTGATAAAAATTTTATAATTATGTATTATACGTTATAATAATTATATATTATTAAAAAAATAAAAACATACTTATTTTTCAAAAAAAGAGTGATATCAGATAAAATAATCATCTAATGAGTAAACGACGCCAATATAAAATAAATTCGCTTAAATTCAATTTTACAATAATTTAATTACTAAAGATATATATGATGAGAATAATGGGTACGGATAGGGTCTTTAAAAGAGTATTATTATTACTGAGCTCGATAAAATGACTTTCAAAATAACGTTTTGATGAAAAACTGTAGATGCTTCATGATGGAAACAAAACACTTAGCATAACTTTATTGTAAATTATAGAACCGAAAATTACAATTTTATAAGACAATTTTTTAGGAATGCCGTTTAATACTCGAGTGTATGGTTCGGAATTTAATATTTGTTAAGTGCATACCTGTTATCATATTAAATTTATAGTACTTTGAAAGTTTTTTTACAAAATTTAATTTCACTCGTTATATTTAAAAATGTTATAGGTTGTTGGACATTTGTATACGTGAAAAATGTATTAAATATGACGTGCTAAAGTACGAAGAGTTTCACATTGAAACTTAAAGTTTACACAAAAGTCATGTAAATTTATTTTACCGATGATCCATTTTCTGTTGTAATATAAGTTGTTCATAAAAATCTTAAAGATGTTTTTAGCTACACCTTGAGTGGTTTTTTTTGGTATTTTATTTGTACAGTTGGAAGGGATGTATGAATATTTTTTCAATGATTTCATTTCATTTTTTAATTTCAAGTTGTTGATACGAAGAGAATATTGTAGGATTAGTTTGTGTTATTTTTTTTGTATTAGTATTCGGGATAGTATTAATAATAATGGTAAATATATGTACATGTATACTTTAGTATATTTTAGTTAATAACTACTAAAAAATATCAGGTCTCCGGGGGCGGGGGCTTGTCGAGATTTGGGATAAAGGCAACGTGTGAAAAGAGTAATTTTTAATACTATTATGGAAAATTCATGGATCATTTTAGAGCTAATTTATTAACTATTTTAGCTTGGAAGTCGACAATTGTTTTATCTTATTAAATAATACGTTTTTTTTTTGTAATTGATCCAGGGATAACTGTTTGGTTTCTATAACTACAGGTAATTTAAAAAAATAATATGCAGATTTAGCTAATCAGTCAATTTCATAAGCTGCACTATCTAGTCCGAAGATACTGCTCTAGCTAAGAGTTGTGATTAAATAAAAATATAACAATGACCAAAAAACAGAAGGAAAAAATACAATATACAATAAAATATAATATACCATTATGTATGTCTATTGAATACTTTTCAACTAACAAACACAAAGATTTATGAAATGTTGTCACTCACAAAGTTTATCATGAGTCAATAGAAAAAATTCTAAAAGCCATCACAAAGTATACTTGTCTTTCTTTTATTTCGTTATTTTGACTTCAGTACCACTAGTAGTTCTATGTATAGTACTTCACTGTATTCCAATTGTCTAAAAAACTTAACATTATGCATTTTAAGACTGCTGTTGTTCTCTGCGCGGTGTATTTCTTTACATCTGTATGGGTAAGATACTTATTTCTTTAAAAAATATTTCCTAAAATAAATATAGTTATATAATTATTGTATAAGGTGAGTTATATAACATAGTTCTATCACTTATGCGTTAAAATCTTATGGTCATATGCTATTAAATGTAACGAATATGTTTTAAACTTTTTAATTTAACAAAAATTAAATTGGCTAAAAATGTTAAATGGTCGATAATCAGTATTGAGTAATTACTTATCAGTTTTAAAATATTTGATAGTTTTATCATATTGTAAAATATAAATAATTTTTTTTAAAAGGAAAACTATAAAATGGTAATCAATTTCTCAGAAAATGAGTGTACAACTTTAAATGGATCGCTCAATACTAAGTATTAAATTATAATTAATATACTTTATTTTAGAGCACTGGGCTAAATAGAAGTCAAATAAAATCTGAGCGCACGGCAGTGCGCCGCGCCAAGTTCTAGCAGTGCCAGTGTATCTTTACACGAACCAATTCACCCGGTATTTCTAACTCTCATATCTCTGCTACTTCTTAAGATAAGCTTTTGAAATTTGAAATATAGATTAAACTCATGTAGTTTAAGATATTGTAAAAATATGAACCCTTAATATTCAGCCCTTTCAAAATGGGAGGATTTCAAAATTTGAATTTTTGTTACTGATTGACTGACTGACTGACTCATCATCAAAATTATAAGACACTTCCAGTATGGGTAAAAACGTGAAATTTGGCACAAAGGTGGGTCTTATAGTGTAAATAAAGGGAAAAATCTGAAAATTGCAATTTTCTCAAAATTAATGCGTTAGGTGGGGATTAATGACCTTCGCCGCGCTACAGCCGGTGCAGAGCGCTGTTGATTCCCATGTCTCTAGTCAGCCATCATTTGGCCGTAGCTTGTGTCTTTGTTAATTCGTGTTCACATGTATGGCAGTGTAGCTTGTTACGTTTGTCACGTGGTTTTATTATATAGTGTAATTGTACACCTAAACGTTCGTCCCCCAAGTAAGGTTTATAATTTTTAATGACATTTTGAGGGAGCTTCCAGAGTTTTAAAAACGTTTGAGCTTCCTCAGCGCCCCTCTAGTTGCGCCAATGTTAATAAATTATTTATCATTATGCATAGTGACTACTTGTATAAATTGTAGCTTCACTACAAAGTGTAGTTTTATGTACATATATACATATACATTTTGTACATATCTACGTAGTTGATATAACAACACGTAAACACAAGAGAAAATCTACGACGTAAAATATACATGCAATGCCTCTTAAAAAAAAGTTTTTCAGCCGAGTCTGACAAAAGAGCATTTACATGTCTCGTTGAAGTACCGAGATAAATTTACAGTAGTGGCGGAATTATGAATAATGATATAGTATATTAAGAAGCAGTAACAAGCGCTAGTATATTAAACATCAAGTTTCTGGCTAATATTGTAGTGTTTAATATTTGGCTTAAAAGAATTTATAGAGAATTTGGGCCCTTAAACAGTTTTGAATTTATTATTTAGTTCTAATTTGAACGTTGAACGTACAACATATCTCTTATCTCCTATATCTTTCCCTATCCCCTAGCCACTATCTCCAATCCCCTATATCCTACCCCTATCACTCCCCCTATCCCCTATTCCCTACCCCATATCACCCCCCCCCCCTATTTCCCACTTCTATCTCTCACCCCTATCTTCCACCCTATCTCCTACCCCTATCTCTCACCCCTATCTTCCACCATATCTTCTACCCTATCTCTTATCTCTTATCAGATAACAGCGTAACGCTTTTTTCGTTATAATTTTTTCGGTTATGTGCCAGAGCAAAGACATGTAAATGTCAAAAAAACCTCGCCCACGATACTGAAGCCCGCAAAAAGGAATGATATTCCTAATAAAAACCTAACAGTAAAAAAAAGCCAAGTTCCAGATCCTCTCCCAAAAATGTCAGCCTATCAAAGTAGTGATATCTACATTGTGGCCAAGTCTACTATTTCTTTAGTTCATAACCACACTTCACTCCTACTTTCATGAGCAACACTGCTCTTTTATTTGTATTGCTTAACACTTGGCCAGTGTCTGAATTAAGCATGAAACATCGTTATCAAATATACTCACTTAGGAGTTATGTGGGTGATGGGAAGAAGAGAACTCAGAAAAAAAGAAAACGGTTCAGATGCCCTCTCGAAAAAGCCAACCAATCAAAGTAGTGGTACCTACATTGCGGTCAAGTCTGTTTTACGCCTCATTCAGAAAGGTCATATTTCAGTCTTTTTGTAGTGCCGAATTTACGCTGTGTTTTATAAATATTGTATCATGAAAAATGTTTTCACTAAAAATGTAAGTGTGTTTTAATACAAATTATCTAGGTCACGCGCAAGCGGTGGCTTGTACGTCGTTTTACAATTGATTCTACTAATCAGTCAGGCAATGCTTAAACGGCCCCAAATCAAATTGTTATTGACCAAGCAATTTTGGATGGAACACAAAATGAAAATTTGAAAAAAAAATTGGTATTAGATCTACAAGCGAATATCGCACAATTGCAGAGCCAATTGTTAGACCTCCAAGTGAGTAAAATAAATAATACTTATAAAAATAAAAACTCTAGTCATACAGAGCTATATGACAAAACAGGTTCTAGCTCAGGTGTTAGTTCTATCCCACCGAAAAAACCCGTAAAATTGGGAGAAAACAAAAGAAAAAAAAATGAACCGTACATTGCGAATCATAACGTGGAACGCTAATAGCTCAGTGGCGT